TCGCTCCCGTCCTTGGTTTGTTCGGCGCCACCTGCTGACCGTATCCCCAGTCGGGCTGACAGCGCCACAGCGCCTGGCCTATGTGCGCCGCAAGGCCCGGGAGTATGAGGTGCTCAAGCAGGCAGCACCAGGTCGGGCACCAGGCCCTGAGGACGCCGCCTTTGTGCGTGCTGCTGTGGCCAAGGACGTGGCCCGCACCGACCGGGCTCAGCCATACTATGCTGGCCCTGATGACGGCCCCCGCCTCCGGGCTTTGGAGGACCTGCTGGTCACCTATGCTCTGGCCCATCCCCGTGTCTCCTACTGCCAAGGTATCCCAAGCTCTTGGGCTCTGCTAGTTATTTTTGCCCTTTCTGGCACAGGGTTGTGACTGGGCTGAGACTGGTTGGGGTAGCTGCAGGGTATTAGGGGACTCCAGGGGCAGGAGCTGAGGTTTCTGGGACAGGTCAGAGGGAGCTGACGGGTATTAGGAAATTCTAGAAAGGTGGCAGCTGAGGTTGTGGGACAGGTCAGGAGTTGGCTGGGGGTATTGGGGACCTCTGAGGACAGTTTTTTTTATGACTGATTATGCTTATCATTTCTGTAGGTCTTTTCTAGCCCCAGTTCTCTCTGACTCATGGGTAGGCAAAATATAGCCTTCAGAGGAGCTCTGTCCAGCCCGCAGAGTGTCCCTCGGTCCCGCCTGGCCCAGGCTTTGTCCGGCCCATGGCACATCCTGCCACATCCAGGCGTGTAGCAGGGCTGTGGCAGCTCTGGGACTGGACTCCACTCCCCAGCAGCAGCAGCTCCTCCCTGCTCCTGCTGCCGCCACCAGCCTCTGCCCCATGGACAGCAGCCAGGAACCATGTGAGCAGGGCCCAAGCCCCGAGCTGAGTGCACAGCCCCAGCCCCGGCCCACCCTCTGCCAGGGGCTGGGGTTCCTGCAGCACCCGCTCTGGACCCACCTGCCCACCCTGGCCATGAGTGGCTGCTGCTGCTGGGTGCAGGGAAAAAAACAGGACTTGGTAGCTGTCTCTCCCTCCTTGCTGCCTGGCGTTTTGCTGCTGCTGCACCGAGCCCACACCACAATTGCACCAGCCACAAGGTTCCATTTTTATCCCGTGCCCAGCAGCAGCTTCTACACAGCCTACGCTAGCAGGTCCAGCCCCTCCTTGGGACAGAAGGACAGCCCAGAAGTAGAACTGGTGGTGATGGGGACCCTGGCTGAGCTGACATTGCTTCAGCTGCCACCCACTCACGCTAGCTTCCTGCCTACCTGCCCGCAGCCCCATCCCACATAGTGAGGCTTGGTGAGTTGTTATGGTGGGGGGGTGCTGATCTGGCCCACAACAGCTCCCCAAAACTCCCTGTGTGGCTTATGGGCCCAAATAATTGCGCACCTCTATGATAATAAGTTTATCTGGGATGGTTCGGACAGCGCTGATCCTGCTTGAGGCCAGGGGTTGGACTAGAGGTGACCTCTGGAAGTCCCTTCCAGCCCCACTTCTCTATGGCTGCGATTCTATGACTTCTATAGGTTTTTTCTAGTTTTACTTTTCTATGACTAACTTTGTGATGGTGGATGTGTCTGGGATGGTTTGGACAGGGCTGATCCTGGCTCAGGTAAGAGGTTGGATTAGAAGTGATCTCTGGAGGTACCTTCCAACCCAACTTCTCTGATCTGTGGAAGTTCCTTCTAGCTCTGCATCTCTCTGATTTCTGTGGTCAGGCATGAGCGACTTGGCGTCCCCACTCTTGGCCGTCCTGGATGATGAGGCTCAAGCCTATGTGTGCTTCTGCGGCCTCATGAAACGCCTGGAAGGGAACTTCCTCCCCGACGGCCGGGCCCTGGGCCTCAAGTTTGCCCACCTGCGGCTGCTTCTGCGCCGCCTGGACCCCCCTTTCCATGCCTACCTGGCTGCCCGTGGTGCTGATGATCTCTTCTTCTGCTACCGCTGGCTCTTGCTTGAGCTCAAGCGGGAATTTGCCTTTGAGGATGCCCTGCGGGTCCTCGAGGTGCTCTGGAGCTCCCTGCCCCCTGACCCCCCTGAGAAGGAGGTGGAGTTAGAGGGGCCCCCACTGGAGGGTGGCAGGGGGCTGGGAGTCCGGGGACGGCATATGATGCGGCCAGTGGGTGGGGGAGGGGAAGAGGAAGAGGAGGGGGAAGGGGTGGGGGGGTTGCTGGCCCCCTTTCCTGCTTTGGGGACCCTTATGCTCAGCCTGCTGGACCAGTAGGGGGGGAAGGAGAGGCTGAGGGGATCCAGGAGGACCCCATGGGGCTGGTGAGGGGAGAACCAGGGTGTGGGGGATCTCGCATGCCAGGGGAGGGGGTGGTGGGGGTAGGGCTGCGGTATTACAGTGTGAGGCAGGGAAGTGATGAGGGGGTGGTGTCTATGCCCAGGTCAGTGTCAGCCCCCTCACTGGGCCAGCTGGACCTGCCGGACCCCTCCCCAGAGCTCCAAGGGGTTGCAACGGCCCCCTTACCGGCTTCAGGGTCCCCTATGTTGAGCCTGTCGGAGCTCCTGGCCTCCTTCCCAGCCTCTGGTACTCCTAAGCTTACTAGGCCCAACCCCCCAGCCCCCTCCTCACCCTCTGGGCAGCTCCTAGGCAGGGTGGCAGGTCCCTTCTCTGCCTCAGGGACACCTGTTTTGAGCCTGCTGGACTCCCCATCCCCCTTCCCTACCTTAGGGACCCCTACGCTTTCCCAGTCCAATCCCTTGGCCTCCTCCCAGCCCTCTGGGGAGCCCCAGGGGGGGTCATCAACCCCCTTCCCTGCCTTGGGGACCCCTACGCTGAGTCTGCTGGATCCTGTGGCCCCATTCCCTACCTCAGGGACCCCTACGCTGACCAGGCTGAACCTCCCAGCCCTCTCCCCAACTATCAAGGAGCCCTGGGACAGGTCTCCAGCCCTGGTAACACCTCCAGTCTCCTCCCGACCCCTGAAAGAGCCATGGGAGGAGTCCTTAGCCCCTTCCCCTCCCCCTATCATCCCTCCCCAGCCTCCCACCCAGGGGGGTTCCCCAGCCCTAGTGACCCCTCTCCCCTGCCTGTTAACCCCTCTGGGCCCTTCCCAGCGCCCCAAGGAGATATGTGGGAGGTCCCTATCCCCCTCTCCTCCCCCTACTGCCCCTCCCCACTCCTTAGTGTCCTTCCCACCCACCAGGGAGTTCCAGGAGGGATCCACAGTCTCCCCGTTGGTTGTAGTAACCCCTTCCTCCCTGCCAAACACTACGGCTGCCCCGCGGCCCCCCCCCCCCCCCGGCCCCCCCCCCCCCTCGCCCCCCGCCACAGGAGCTGGGCCGAGGCAACCCTTTCCTGCTCTTTGTGTGTGTCGCCATGTTGCTGGAGCAGCGTGAGTGCCTCCTGCAACATGACCTGGACTACGATGATGTGGCTGTCCACTTCGACCGCCTGGTGCGGCGCCACAGTCTGACCCGTGTACTGCCCCGTGCCCGTGCCCTGTTTGCCGACTACCTGCGCTCTGAAGTCTGGGACTCTGAGGAGGTCGATGAGGCAGCTGCTGAATCCCCCCAACCCTCCTGACCAGGGCCTGGATCCTAGCACTGGTTCCCCTTGCCAGATCTCAGAACCAGAGATTGCTGGATTTCCTTGCTGAATTCTAGCACTGGATCCTGCCATCAGATACCACCTGATCCCTTTGCTAGATCCTAGCACCATGTCCCAGCCACTGGATTCTATTGGATCCCCTTGCCAGGTCCCTTTACTCAATTTTTTTTTTTTTTAATTTGATTCCAGTTGTCTGATCTCCTTGCTGGATCCTACCATCATGTCCACTTGCCAAATATTATCCCTGGATCCTAAATCCAGGTTCCATCACTGTTCCATTGTCAGTTCACAGTCCCAGAAAGTGGTTTGCCAGGTCCTTATGCTGGATCCCACCACTGGATCTACTTACTGGATCCCTGCATGCAGATCTTCCCATCTAGTTTCCCTTGCCTAATCCTGTTGCCTGGGCCTAGTACCAGATCCAACCACTGGATCCCTGTGCCTGATCCCATTGCATCATCTCAGATACCAGTACTGGGTCCTGCTGCTGGACCCCCTGGCTGAGGGTTCATCACCAGATCCAATCACTGAGTGCCACTGCTGGGTTCTCTTGCTGGATCCAATTGCTGGGGTCCTAGTGTCAGACTTTGCCACTGGATCCCTTTTCTGCATCCTGGTACTAAATCCTTCTATTGAATCCTATTGTCATAGCATCCCATCATGAGATCCCAGGGAGGCCCAGTGATTGGCCCATGGACCAACTGAGATCCACCCATCTTCAGCCTTGGATTCTGCCCACATATAGAGACAGGATCTTCTCTCTGCCTCAAATTCCCCCTCCTCTGGATTGAGTGATCTTGGCAGTTTCTCCATAGACCAGCTGGGATCTATCTGTTTTGGCCTTGAATCCTGTTGTCCTAGGTGGGGTGTTTTCTGCCTGGACTGAGTGATCTGGGCAGATCCTCCAGGTGATCTTGGCAGGTTCTCCATGGATGTACTGGGATCTGTTCACCTATTTGGCCTTGGATTCCATCCCCACACCAGATCTTCCCCTTTCCTGCCATTGAAGGTTCCTGCCTCTTGGAGGGTTCTCTGTGGACCAGCTGGGATCCACCCAACTGTTCAGCCTATGATCAGCTCCTTTGGTTTTTGCCTTGGATCCCTTCCTCTCCCATGGAATCTCTACCTGCCTTCTTTCCTTTCCTTCCCACCATGGGTGGTAAGATCTCAGCAGGATCCACTCATCTGATTAGCCTGAGATTCTGCCCCACCACTGGATCTCTCTGTGCATTGATTTCCCTGCTGCCTCCTATAGGATCTTTTACTGCCTTGATTCCCTCCTGCCCTGGATGGAGTGATCTTGGCAAGATCCACCCATGGAGCTGATGGGATCCACCCTGCTTACCCTGAGGTTTTTAGATCTACCCATGGACCAACTGGGATCTGCTCTGTTTGGCTTTAGATCTTCTCTCTACCCCTACAGGATTTACATATGCCTTGCTCCTCACTCCTGTGGGTCAAGTGATCTAGGGAATATCCACCTTTGCCCTGGCTGGAATCCACCAAACTGTTTGGCCTTGGATTCTTCCCCCACCCCCAGCAAAGAAGGGCCCTCCCCTTGCTTTGCCCTTTACCCTGTTGATCAAGAGATCTGGCAGATTTTCCACAGACTGATTGGAATCTGCTGTTCTATTTCACCTTAGTTCCTCTGAGGGTCTTTCTCACCCCCCCCCCCCCCCCCCAC